CTCTTGGTCTATGTACAGGTTCCTCATGAGCACAATTAAGTGTTCTAGAATTCCCATTCTTCACAATGTTATCCATAATATTATATATAATATAAACAGTATTATATATAATGTAATATATATGTATATAGATATATAAAATATAGTTGCTTTTAAAAAGAAGTCACATCATGGATATCTAAGACACACACACCCACATATATATACACATGTGCATATATAACTCACATATACCATTTGAATGCGTGAGCAAGCAGAGGGGGCACCACAGATGATCAGTGTTCAGGGCTCTCACATGCCTTAATCCTGTCCTGCCCCAGTGCCACAGCCCTGGTCACCTTCTCACCACACCCTGGCATGCAGTGTAAGCCATTCTGCCTTGTGGCCAGTAGGTGGCGCTGAAGACTAGGGCTAGGCAGGGAGCCCGTGGGCCTGGGGGCCTTGGACTCGGGGATGAGCTGGGAAAACGTCCGCTGCAGGTCGAAGGCAGTTACCATGAGCTTGCTATGTGCAGACACTGTGCTCTGGCCCTTCACGCATTAGCTTGTTCAACCTTCCCATTATCTTGAGTATCATCTCATTTTATAGATGAGGAAACTGAGAGGCTCAGAGATTATTTTAAAGTAACTTTTCTAAGGTCATCCAGCTCGTGTGTGGTGAGACCATGGCTCAAGCCCAGTTCAGTGGGCAAAGCAGTGGTCTCACCCCAAGCCCCTCATTATACAGGGAGAAGCAGGAGTTCAGAGTTGTCCTGGATCTCTTTGGAAACGAGCTGGAGGAAAGCTACAAGCTGGTGTCTGATGCCAGGTGATGTGAGCTGAGAGGCAGAACTGCGTCTGTCAAGGATGCCAGGAAGCTGTGGGATCCTGGGGGACAGGTCTGAAGCCAGACACAGCCTCCTCTCTCAGGGGCCTGCCTGGGCCCTCACCACACCTCACCCTGGGGTCTAGGACTCAGGGGCGAGGGAAGTGCCCTGATGCTCCTGGCCTTCCACAGCTGGACTAGGCTTCTCAGTGACCCTCTCTTTCGCCCTCCCGCACAGGTGTACCTGTCCACAGGTGTCCCAGTACAGCTCTTCTGAAAAGCCTTCCCTGACTGCTGGGGCCCAAGAATTCCTCAACTCCTACATGATCCTGGAACCCTCTCTAGAGATCCTGCCCTGTGGGGCCCCAGGGAGGTTCAGGCAACCATGTCTGTAACAAGCTACACGCTCTCGGGAATTCTGATACACAGCCAGGTCCGGAACCACCTTCTCCAAGTCAGCTCTCGGCTGGACCAGAAACCAGCAGAGTGTTGCTTGTCTGTCTAAATATACCCGTCAGGTCAGCTCTCTCCCAATGGGAAGGACCCAGGTGCCTCAGGTCAGGGACCCTGGCTTAGCCACCCTCTACCCATCACCTAACCCCAACACAGAGCCTAGGGTACTGGCTTAACAGGTCCAGTGCCCTGATACAGGGTTGGATTACCCAGTAAACAAGGTAAGCGCGGGCTTACTTTGCTTACTTACTAATCTGTAGTGAACAATCTTTGATGTGGTGAAACCCATGTGCAATTGTCCGCCTCAGATTAGTATGTAAGCATAAGTAAGCCCGTGCTTACCTTGCTTACTGGGTAATCCCTCCCTGTCAGGAGTTGTAAATTTGAAAAGAGGCTTTGATTCTGTAGGAAGGTGCTGTGGGGCTGGGAGGGAGACAGATGCCAGCCATACCTAGAAGCAGTATCTTCGATGTGGTAAAAAAATGTGAAACTGTTCGCTACAGATGAACTGATAAGCAAAGTAAGCACCGTGTTTACCTTGTCTATTGGATAACCCGCCCCTGTCCTCATGCACCCATTCAACAAATTGTTACCGAGCCCCTCTATGTGCCGGGCACTGCTCTAAGCACCAGGGAGAGAATCTCAGCTCCCATAAACAGACACGAGTTTCAGTCTCTGATAAAAAAATAAAACAGGGAGATATGACAGTGTAATTGTGGGCTGAGGAGGGGGCACCTGAGAAAGGTGGCCAGGTAAGGGCTCTCTGGGATGTGAAATGAGACGTGTGAAGATCTAGGAAGGGTGTCTGGGAAGACAACAAGTTGTGGGGAGGGGTGCGGACGGGAAAGAAGGCCAGTGTGACTGGAGACTCCATGCATGCCCGCTGAGTTCAGAGAGATGGCAGAGCCTTATTCTAGATGCCGAGAAAGTCCCTGGAGGGTTCTAAGCAGGAAAGTGAAGTGCTCTGATGCAGTTTCCATCTCTCTGGCTGCTGGTGGGTCTATTGGAAGATCTCTGAGGGTCCCTTCCTGGGGGACCCCCCCTTCGCAGGACCCCTGAGGCAGAGCTGGTAGCCAGGGCAGCTGACCAGAGCCCGAGGTCCACAGGGTTAATCTCCTGGGCGGTGAGGGGCCTCTGATTAGCAGGCCCTGCCACTCCCCACTGATAAACTCCTGGGCAGGAGGGGGCTGGACTAAGCCTGGGAGGAGAGTGGAGAAATCAAAGCAGGAGGAGGAGGAGCTGGGGAGCACTACAGGAGGGTTTCTCTCTCCTGTTTCTCTCCCATCTCTATGGAGGGGACGTTCCTGGGTGAGAGAGGGCCCACTTTATCCCTTATTTAACACTTTCACAGCCACTTTCTCCATCAGGGCCCAGTCCTGATTTTATGGGCCCTAATTGGGAGTCTGGTGGCACAGTGGTTAAAGCACTTGGCTGCAAACCAAAACGTTGGTGGTTCGAACCCACCAGCCCCTTCACAGGACAAAGATGTGGCAGTCTGCTTCTGTGAAGATTTCAGCCTTGGACACCCTATTGGGCAGTTCTATTCTGTCCTGTAGGATCACTCTGAGTTGGAATCGACTAGAGGGCAACAGGTTTTTAAGGAAGAGAAAACAAAATTAGGGAAGGGCCATGAGGCTTAAGCTTCATGAGCTTCATGGTAAGTGCCCACCCTTGATCTCTTCCCATCAGGGGAGTTAGCCCCATATACAGATGAGAAGCCTGAGGCTGTGAGAGTCTCTGCTGCAGTTTTCTGACTCCCAGTCCAGTGCTCTTTCCACTTCCCCAACCCATCTGAAAGCACAGCTGCTCCTTCTCCTTAGGCTGCCAGGCAGCGTGGGGGTGGGGGTGGGGTGAGGCGTCCTGAGGGGAGAAAGGGCTTGTCTTGGGGCAGCATCCCTGTTTAGGACAGGGTCCTATGTGGTCCAGACAGCTACGTATCTACGGAAAATAGTGCTATGGCAATTAGTTTTAAATAGCTGAATGATCCCTCACAGCTGGCAATGGAAACTGTGACGGCCCATAGAAACTGCTTATTGGTGCCCCTCCCTCCGTCTCTCCAAGGGCACACTCCCTACCTGCCATACCTTAGATACACTCGGGAACCCCCACATGCCTATCAACAACCCCTCCAAACGGGCACATTCTAAACAGGGGCTCAAGGGACTGGCTGAGGATCAGATCCGAGGGAACTCATTAAAATGCAGTTCCTGGGGCCCCAACTCACACCTACAGAATCAGAATCGTCAGGGGTGGGGCTAGGATCTGTCTTTGAACACACTTGCTGGGTTCTTCCTCAGCACAGCCAGGGCTGGGGACGACTGATTTAATCAGCAGCCCTGAGTGCTGGGGACGGGAGCTCTGTCCCCCTGAGTTATGGGGGTTTTCAAGGACAAAGGTGTCCCCATTTCCTGGCAGGGGGAAGTGTGTGTGTGTGTGTGTGTGTGTGTGTGTATGTGTTTCTAGGGGAGGGACATGGGAGGAGGCTGGATTTTCCCCATTTACAGCCGGGCAGTCTCAGCTCTGGCCAGAATCACTCTGGGAAGAAGGAAGGCCCAGGGCTTGGTCAGGATGGACTTTGCCTGGACTTGAATTCTGCCTCTAGAGCTTGTAGTGAAACCATCTCGGGCTCTCTCTCTCACCTCTAGAATGGAGTCAACGAGATGCACTACAAGGGATTATTAAAAAAAATGTTATCTCTCTGACAACCATTAAGAGAACCTGTACTGTGTGCCAACCCAGTGCTATGATAAGATTATCATTCACAATGACAGATGAGGAAGTTGAGGTCCTGAGAGGTTAAGTAAGTCGTCTAAGATCACCCAGCTAGTAACTGGCAAGACTGGCATTTGAACCCAGGGCTGTCTGATTCCAGAGTGTATTTTAAAAGCCATTCTGTCCTTTCCTGCCCCTTTTTCGCTCAGCAATATTCGTTAACTGCCTCCTATGTGCCAGTCCAAGAGCCTGGTGCCCTCCACCCCACCCTTTTGCTGTGAGGGTTAATGAAGTACAGTGCATGGCCGCCCCAGGGATGCTGCAAAGTGCTCTCTGGTCATGAGAGGTTCTTTTAGCCACACAGCCCTCTCTGTGCTTTCACCCACAGCCTAGATGTGAATGGGGTGGGGGAGGTCTGTCTCTGGCAGAGCAGGCCTCAAAGCTCAGAGTGTATCAGGGTTACCTGGCAACTTGTTAAAATGTAGAGTTCCGGGCCCCATCCCCCATCGGATTCAGTTGTCAGGGCTGGGCCTGGGACCATGTATTTTTGACAACTGCCCAGGTTGTCTGCTGCAGATGGTTTGGGCATCACATTTTAAGATACACTGTAATATAAGGACTAACCCAGTGCCATTGAGTTGATTCTGACTCATAGCAACCCTATAGGATAGAGTAGAGCTTCCCCATAGGGTTTCCAAGGAGCAGTGGCTGGTGGATTGGAACTGCCAACGTTTTGGTTAGCAGCTGAGCTCTTAACCACTCTACCACTAGTACTCCAGAAGGACTAAAGTCAGGAGAATACAGAAACTGTCTGGTGGCCCAAGTCTTAGATGATGAAAATTGGGACCTTCTTCTCAGAAAAATGCACAAACTCACCTACATGCAAGAGTTTGCATAGAGTTTCAGGGGGGTCCTAGATCCTTGAAGCCCAGCATGGATCCCTGGGAGCCTGCTTAAGGACTCCTGGTCTACTTAAAACTTAGAGTCTTCTTTAAACCAAACAATAGTTTAGCTTAATTAGTAAAGAATGTCTGCCTTTAGCATTGTGCTCTTTTAAGATCTATCTATATGGGATCAAATGGACAACAGCAACTCGAAAGAGTAGATAGAAAACAGACAGAGTAGGGAGTAAGTTTATGTTAATTGGGGAGGAACAATTCAGAAAGGAAGATGAGAATGGTTGTACAAAATGAAGAATGTAATCGATGTCACTTAATTGTACATGTGGAAATTGTTGAATTGGTGTCTGTTCTGCTGTGTATATTCTCAACAACAATAAAAAATAAAATAAATTATTTAAAAAACGGAAAGAAAGAACTTCTGGTGTAGGTGCTAGGTCTCAGCCCAGATATCCTGAGAAAGGTTGCTTCTCCCCCGTGCCCCACATCTTGTACATAACTCTATCAGAAGAGCAATTTCTTATTTACCTCCCTTCTGGACTTTGGGGCATGCAGCATTTTCTCCCTTCTTCACAGCACATGGTAGGATTATACTTCCCTGCCCCTCTGAGGTGAGGTTTGATCGTGTGGTTTACTTTTGTTGTTGTTGTGGGCCATCAAGTCGATTCCAACTCATAGTGACCTTACATGACAGAGTAGAACTGCCTCATAGGGTTTTATAGGCTGTAATCTTTATGGGAGCAGATTGCCAGGTCTTTTCTTCCACAGAGTGGCTGGTGGGTTCGAACAAAGGACCTTTCGGTTAGCAGCTAAGTGCTTAATCATTGCGCCACCAGGGCTCCTTTTGGTTTAGTTTAGCCAAGGAAATGTTAATGGTAGAAATTTTAGAAGCCAGTGTGTGACTCACCATGTTCTTGTCACCTTACCACAGGGATCTTGGAAATGGACACTAAGGTGGGGGTTCATCAGCTTCTGACCCTGAGGGACTGGTGAACAGGGACCCCTGCCAACCCATCTTGGACATGTAGCATGAGTGAGAAATACACCTTTGTTGTGCTAAGCAATGAGGTTTGGCATTGTTTGTTACTGCAGCATTAGCTAGCTTGTCCTGACTGTTATGGATTGAATTGTGTTCCCCAAAACCATATGTTGAAATCTTAACCCCTGTAGCTGTGAATGTGACCCTGTTTGGAAATAAGGGGTTTTCTTTTGTTATGATAATGAGGTCATACTAAAGCTGGTGGGTTCTAAACCTTATCCCTTCTGAGTGGTGTCTTATAGGGATGATAACAG